GGAGAATGTGGCGGGGTGATGGAAAGCGGGAGATGGGGCTGGGGTTATGGGAAGCGGAGAAATGGGCGGGGTGATGGAAGGAGGGAGAATGGGGCGGGGGTGATGGAAAGAGGGAGAATGGGGCAGGGTGATGGAAAGCAAGAGAATGGGGCGGGGTGATGGAAAGCAAGAGAATTGGGCGGGGTGATGGAAAGCGTGAGGAACGGGGCGGGGTGATGGAAAGCGGGAGAATGGGGCGGGGTGATGGAAAGCAGGGGAATGGGGCGGGGTGATGGAAAGCGGGAGAATTGGGCGGGGTGATGGAAAGCGGGAGAATGGGGCGGGGTGATGGAAAGCGGGAGAATTGGGCGAGGTGATGGAAAGCGGGAGAACGGGGCGGGGTGATGGAAAGCGGGAGAATGGGGCGAGGTGATGGAAAGCGGGAGAATGGGGCGGGGTAATGGAAGGAGGGAGAATGGGGCGGGGTGATAGAAGGTGGGAGGATGGGGTGGGGTGATGGAAAGCGGGAGAATGGGGAGGGGTGATGGAAAGCAGGAGAATGGGGCGGGGTGGTGGAAAGCGGGAGAATGGGGCAGGGTGATCGAAGGAGAGAGAAGGGGGCGGAGTGATGGAAAGTGGGAGAATGTGGCAGGGTGATGGAAAGCGGGAGAATGGGGTGGGGTTATGGGAAGCGGGAGAATAGGGCAGGGTGATGGGAGGAGGGAGAATTGGGCGAGGTGATGGAAGGAGGGAGAATGGGGCGGGGTGATGGAAAGCGGGAGAATGGGGCGGGGTGATGGAAGGAGGGAGAATGGGGCGGGGTGATGGAAAGCGGGAGAATGGGGCGGGGTGATGGAAAGCGGGAGAATGGGGCGGGGCGATGGAAAGCGGGAGAATCGGGCAGGGTGATGGAAAGCGGGAAAATGGGGCGGGGTGATGGAAAGCGGGAGAATGGGGCTGGGTGATAGAAAGCGGGAGAATGGGGCGGGGTGATGGAAAGCGGGGAGAATGGGGCGGGGTGATGGAAGGAGGGAGAATGAGCCAGGGTGATGGAGATGGGGCGGGGTGATGGAAAGCGGGAGAATGGGGCGGGGTGATGGAAAGCGGGAGAATGGGGCGGGGGTGATGGAAAGCGGGACAATGGGGCGGGGTGATGGAAAGCGGGAGAATGGGGCGGGGTGATGGAAAGCGGGAGAATGGGGAGGGGTGTTGGAAAGCGGGAGAATGGGGCGGGGTGATGAAAAGCGGGAGAATGGGTCGGGGTGAAGGAGAGTGGGAGAATGGGGCGGGGTGATGGAAAGCTGGAGATGGTGCGGGTGATGGAAAGCGGGTGAATGGTGCGGGGTGATGGAAAGCGGGAGAATGGGGCGGGGTGATGGAAAGCAGAAGAATGGGGCGGGGTGATAGAAAGCGGGAGAATGGGGCGAGGTGATGGAAAGCAGGAGAATGGGGCGGGTGATGGAAAGCGGGAGAATGGGGCGGGGTGATGGAAGGAGGGAGAATGGGGAGGGGTGATGGAAAGCGGGGGAATGGGGCGGGATGATGGGAAGCGGAAGAATGGGGCGGGGAGATGGAAAGCAGGAGAATGGGACGGGGTGATGGAAGGAGGGAGATTGGGGCGGGGTGATGGAAGCAAGGAGAATGGGGCGAGGTGATGGAAAATGGGAAAATGGGGTGGGGTGATGGAAAGCGGGAGAATGGGGCGGGGTGATGGAAAGCGGGAGAAGGGGGCAGGTTGATGGAAAGCGGGAGAATGGGGCGGGGTGATGGAAAGCGGGAGAATGGGGCGGGCTGATGGAAAGCGGGAGAATGGGGCGGGCTGATGGAAAGCGGGAGAATGGGGCGGGGTGATGGAAGGAGGGAGAATGGGGCGGGGTGATGGAAGGAGGGAGAATGGGGCGGGATGAAGTGGGAGAAAGTGGCGGGGTGATGGAAAGCGGGAGATGGGGCTGGGGTTATGGGAAGCGGAGAATGGGGCGGGGTGATGGAAGGAGGGAGAATGGGGCGGGGTGATGGAAAGAGGCGGGAGAATGGGGCAGGGTGATGGAAAGCGGGAGAATGGGGCGGGGTGATGAAAAGCGGGAGAATGGGGCGGGGTGATGGAAAGCGGGAGCATGGGGCGGGGTGATGGAAGGAGGTAGAATGAGGCGGGGTGATGGAAGGAGGGAGAATGGGGCGGGGTGATGGAAAGTGGGAGAATGGGGCGGGGTGATGGAAAGCGGGAGAATGGGGCGGGGTGATGGAAAGCGGGAGAATGGGGCGGGGAGATGCAAAGTGGGAGAAAGGGGCGGGGTGATGGAAAGCGGGAGAATGGGGCGGGCTGATAGAAAGTGGGAGAATGGGGCGGGGTGATGGAAGGAGGGAGAATGGGGCGGGGTGATGGAAGGAGGGAGAAGGGGGCGGGGTGATGGAAAGCGGAAGAATGGGGTGGGGTGATGAAAAGCGAGAGAATGGGGCGGGCTGATGGAAAGCGGGAGAATGGGGAGGGCTGATGGAAAGCGGGAGAATGGGGCGGGGTGATCAAAGGAGGGAGAATGGGGCAGGGTGATGGAAGGAGGGAGAATGGGGCAGGGTGATGGAAAGTGGGAGAATGTGGCGGGGTGATGGAAAGCGGGAGAATGGGGCGGGGTGATGGAAAGCGGGAGAATGGGGCGGGCTGGTGGAAAGCGGGAGAATGGGGCGGGCTGATGGAAAGCGGGAGAATGGGGCGGGGTGATGGAAGGAGGGAGAATGGGGCGGGGTGATGGAAGGAGGGAGAATGGGGCGGGATGAAGTGGGAGAAAGTGGCGGGGTGATGGAAAGCGGGAGATGGGGCTGGGGTTATGGGAAGCGGAGAATGGGGCGGGGTGATGGAAGGAGGGAGAATGGGGCGGGGTGATGGAAAGAGGCGGGAGAATGGGGCAGGGTGATGGAAAGCGGGAGAATGGGGCGGGGTGATGAAAAGCGGGAGAATGGGGCGGGGTGATGGAAAGCGGGAGCATGGGGTGGGGTGATGGAAGGAGGTAGAATGAGGCGGGGTGATGGAAGGAGGGAGAATGGGGCGGGGTGATGGAAAGTGGGAGAATGGGGCGGGGTGATGGAAAGCGGGAGAATGGGGCGGGGTGATGGAAAGCGGGAGAATGGGGCGGGGAGATGCAAAGCGGGAGAAAGGGGCGGGGTGATGGAAAGCGGGAGAATGGGGCGGGCTGATAGAAAGTGGGAGAATGGGGCGGGGTGATGGAAGGAGGGAGAATGGGGCGGGGTGATGGAAGGAGGGAGAAGGGGGCGGGGTGATGGAAAGCGGGAGAATGGGGTGGGGTGATGAAAAGCGAGAGAATGGGGCGGGCTGATGGAAAGCGGGAGAATGGGGAGGGCTGATGGAAAGCGGGAGAATGGGGCGGGGTGATCAAAGGAGGGAGACTGGGGCAGTAAGATGGAAGGAGGGAGAATGGGGCAGGGTGATGGAAAGTGGGAGAATGTGGCGGGGTGATGGAAAGCGGGAGAACGGGGCGGGGTTATGGAAAGCGGGAGAATGGGTCGGGGTGACGGAGAGCGGGAGAATGGGGCAGGGTGATGGAAGGAGGGAGAATGGGGCGGGGTGATGGAAAGCGGGAGAATGGGGCCTGGTGATGGAAAGCGGGAGAATGGGGCGGGGTGATGGAAAGTGGGAGAATGGGGCGGGGTTATGGAAAGTGGGAGAATGGGGCGGGGTGATGGAAGGAGGTAGAATGAGGCGGGGTGATGGAAGGAGAAGAATGGGGCGGGGTGATGGAAAGCAGGAGAATGGGGCGGGGTGATGGAAAGCGGGAGAATGGGGCGGAGTGAAGGAAAGCGGGAGAATGGGGCGGGGTGATGGAAAGCGGGAGAATGGGGCGTGGTGATGGAAAGCGGGAGAATGGGGCGGAGTGATGGGAGAATGGGGCGGGGTGATGGAAAGCGGGAGAATGGGGCGGGGTGATGGAAAGCGGGAGAATGGAGCGGTGTGATGGAAAGCGGGTGAATGGGGTGGGCTGATGGAAAGCGGGAGAATGGGGCGGGGTGAGGGAAGGAGGGAGAATGGGGCGGGGTGATGGAAAGCGGGAGAATGGGGCGGGGTGATGGAAAGTGGGAGAATAGGGCGGGGTGATGGAAAGCGGGAGCATGGGGCGGGCTGATGGAAGAAGGTAGAATGAGGCGGGGTGATGGAAGGAGGGAGAATGGGGCGGGGTGATGGAAAGCGGGAGAATGGGGCGGGGTGATGGAAGGAGGGAGAATGGGGCGTGGTGATGGAAAGCGGGAGAATGGGGCAGGGTGATGGAAAGCGGGAGAATGGGGCGGGGTGATGGAAAGCGGGAGAATGGGGCGGGGTGATGGAAAGCGGGAGAATGGGGCGGGGTGATGGAAAGCGGGAGAATGGGGCGGGGTGATGGAAAGAGGGAGAATGGGGCGGGGTGATCGAAAGCGGGAGAATGGGGCGGGGTGATGGAAAGCGAGAGAATGGGGCGGGGTGATGGAAAGCGGGAGAATGGGGTGGGCTGATGGAAAGCGGGAGAATGGGGCGGGGTGATGGAAGGAGGGAGAATGGGGCGGGGTGATGGAAGGAGGGAGAATGGGGCGGGTGATGGAAGGAGGGTGAATAGGGCGGGGTTATGGAAAGCAGGAGAATGGGGCGGGGTGATGGAAAGCGGGAGAATGGGGCGGGGTGATGGAAGGAGGGAGATTGGGGCATGGTGATGGAAAGCGTGAGAATGGGGCGGGGTGATAGAAAGCGGGAAAATAAGGCGGGGTGATGGAAAGTGGGAGAATGGGGCTGGGTGATGGAAAGCGGGAGAATGGGGTGGGGTAATGGAAAGCGGGAGAATGGGGCGGGGTGATGGAAGGAGGGATAATGAGGCGGAGTGATGGAAGGAGGGAGAATGGGGCGGGGTGATGAAAAGCAGGAGAATGGGGCGGGGTGATGGAAAGCGGGAGAATGGGGCGGAGTGATCGAAAGCGGGAGAATGGAGCGGGGTGATGGAAAGCGGGAGAATGGGGCGGGGTGTTGGAAAGCGGGACAATGGGACGGGGTGATGAAAAGCGGGAGAATGGGGCGGGGTGATGGAAAGCAGGAGAATGGGGCGGGTGATGGAAAGCGGGTGAATGGGGCGGGGTGATGGAAAGCAGGAGAATAGGTTGGGGTGATGGAAAGCAGAAGAATAGGGCGGGGTGATGGAAAGCGGGAGATGGGGCGAGGTGATGGAAAGCGGGAGAATGGGGCGGGTAATGGAAAGCGGGAGAATGGGGCGGGGTGATAGAAGGAGGGAGAATGGGGAGGGGTGATGGAAAGCGGGGGAATGGGGCGGGATGATGGGAAGCGGGAGAATGGGCAAGGGTGATGGAAAGCGGGAGAATGGGGCGGGTTGATGGAAAGGGGGAGAATGGGGCAGGGAGATGGAAAGCGGGAGAAAGGGGCGGGCTGATGGAAAGCGGGAGAATGGGGCGGGGTGATGGAAGGAGGGAGAATGGGGCGGGGTGATGGAAGGAGGGAGAAGGGGGCGGCGTGATGGAAAGTGGGAGAATGGGGCGGGGTGATGGAAGGAAGGAGAATGGGGCGGGGTGATGGAAAGCAAAAGAATGGGGCGGGGTGATGGAAAGCGGGAGAATGGGGCGAGGTGATGGAAAGCGGGAGAATGGGGCGGGTGATGGAAAGCGGAAGAATGGGGCGGGGTGATGGAAGGAGGGAGAATGGGGAGGGGTGATGGAAAGTGGAGGAATGGGGCGGGATGATGGGAAGTGGAAGAATGGGGCGGGGTGATGGAAAGCGGGAGAATGGGGCAGGGTGATGGAAAGCGGGAGAATGGGGCGGGGAGATGGAAAGCGGGAGAAAGAAGCGGGGTGATGGAAAGCGGGAGAATGGGGCGGGCTGATGGAAAGCGGGAGAATGGGGCGGGGTGATGGAAGGAAGGAGAATGGGGCGGGGTGATGGAAGGAGAGAGAAGGGGCCGTGGTGATGGAAAGTGGGAGAATGGGGTGGGGTTATGGGAAGCGGGAGAATGGGGCGGGGTGATGGAAAGCGGGAGAATGGGGCGGGGTAATGGAATGAGGGAGAATGGGGCGGGGTGATGGAAGAAAGGAGAATGGGGCGGGGTGATGGAAAGCGGGAGAATGGGGCGGGGTGATGGAAGGAGGGAGAATGGGGCGGGGTGATAGAAAGCGGGAGAATGGGGCGGCGTGATGGAAAGCGGGAGAATGGGGCGGGGTGATGGAAAGGGAGAGAATGGGGTAGGGTGATGGAAGGAGGAAGAATGGGGAGCGGTGATGGAAAGCGGGGGAATGGGGCGGGATGATGGGAAGCGGAAGAATGGGGCGGGGTGATGGAAAGCGGGAGAATGGGGCGGGGTGATGGAAAGCGGGAGAATGGGGCGGGGAGATGGAAAGCGGGAGAAAGGGGAGGGGTGATGGAAAGCGGGAGAATGGGGCGGGCTGATGGAAAGCGGGAGAATGGGGCGGGGTGATGGAAGGAGGGAGAATGGGGCGGGGTGATGGAAGGAGAGAGAAGGGGGCGGGGTGATGGAATGTGGGAGAATGTGGCGGGGTGATGGAAAGCGGGAAAATGGGGTGGGGTTATGGGAAGCAGAAGATTGGGGCGGGGTGATGGAAAGCGGGAGAATGGGGCGGGGTGATGGAAGGAGGGAGAATGGGGCGGAGTGATGGAAGGAGGGAGAATGGGGCGGAGTGATGGAAAGCGGGAGAATGGGGCGGGGTGATGGAAGGAGGGAGAATGGGGCGGGATGATGGAAAGCGGAAGAATGGGGCGGGGTGATGGAAATCGGGAGAATGGGGCGAGGTGGTGGAAAGCGGGAGAATGGGGCGGGGTGATAGAAGGAGGGAGAATGGGGCGGGGTGATAGAAAGCGGGAGAATGTGGCGGGGTGATGGAAAGCGGGAGAATGGGGCGGGGTGATGGAAGGAGGGAGAATGGGGCGGGGTGATGGAAGGAGGGAGAATGGGGCGGGGTGATGGAAAGCGGGAGAATGGGGCGGGGTGATGGAAAGCATAAGAATGGGGCGGGGTGATGGAAAGCGGGAGAATGGGGCGAGGTGATGGAAAGCGGGAGAATGGGGCGGGTGATGGAAAGCGGAAGAATGGGGCGGGGTGATGGAAGGAGGGAGAATGGGGAGGGGTGATGGAAAGCGGTGGAATGGGGCGGGATGATGGGAAGCGGAAGAATGGGGCGGGGTGATGGAAAGCGGGAGAATGGGGCGGGGTGATGGAAAGCAGGAGAACGGGGCGGGGAGATGGAAAGCGGGAGAAAGGGGCGGGATGATGGAAAGCGGGAGAATGGGGCGGGCTGATGGAAAGCGGGAGAATGGGGCGGGGTGATGGAAGGAGGGAGAATGGGGCGGGGTGATGGAAGGAGGGAGAAGGGGGCGGGGTGATGGAAAGTGGGAAAATGTGGCGGGGTGATGGAAAGCGGGAGAATGGGGTGGGATTATGGGAAGCGGGAGAATGGGGCGGGGTGATGGAAAGCGGGAGAATGGGGCGGGGTGATGGAATGAGGGAGAATGGGGCGGGGTGATGGAAAGCGGGAGAATGGGGCGGGGTGATGGAAAGCGGGAGAATGGGGCGGGGAGATGGAAAGCGGGAGAAAGGGGAGGGGTGATGGAAAGCGGGAGAATGGGGCGGGCTGATGGAAAGCGGGAGAATGGGTCGGGGTGATGGAAGGAGGGAGAATGGGGCGGGGTGATGGAAGGAGGGAGAAGGGGGCGGGGTGATGGAAAGCGGGAGAATGGGGCGGGGTGATGGAAAGCGGGAGAATGGGGCGGAGTGATGGAAAGCGGGAGAATGGGGCGGGGTGATGGAAAGTGGGAGAATGGGGCGGGCTGATGGAAAGCGGGAGAATGGGGCGGGGTGATGGAAGGAGGGAGAATGGGGCGGGGTGATGGAAGGAAGGAGAATGGGACGGGGTGATGGAAAGCCGGAGAATGTGGCGGGGTGATGGAAAGTGGGAGAATGGGGTGGGGTTATGGGAAGCGGGAGAATGGGGCGGGGTGATGGAAAGCGGGAGAATGGGGCGGGGTGATGGAAAGCGGGAGAATGGGGCGGGGTGATGGAAAGCGGGAGAATGGGGCGGGGTGATGGAAAGCGGGAGAATGGGGCGGGGTGATGGATAGCGGGAGAATGGGGCGGGGTGATGGAAAAAGGGAGAATGGGGCGGGGTGATGGAAAGCGGAAGATTGGGGCAGGGTGATGGAAAGCGGGAGATTGGGGCGGGGTGATGGAAAGCGGGAAAATGGGGCGGGGTGATGGAAAGCGGAAGAATGGGGCGGGTTGATGGAAAGCGGGAGAATGGGGCGGGGTGATGGAAGGAGGGAGAATGGGGCGGGGTGATGAAAAGCGGGGGATTGGGGAAGGGTGATGGAAAGCGGGAGAACGGGGCGGGGTGATGGAAAGCGGGAAAATGGGGCGGGGTGATGGAAAGCGGGAAAATGGGGCTGGGTGATGGAAAGCGGGAGAATGGGGCAGGGTGATGGAAAGCAGGAGCATTGGGCGGGGTGATGGAAGGAGGGAGAATGAGGCAGGGTGATGGAAGGAGGGAGAATGGGCCGGGGTGATGGAAAGCGGGAGAATGGGGCGGGGTGATGGAAAGTGGGAGAATGGGGCGGAGTGATGGAAGAAAGGAGAATGGGGCGGGGTGATGGAAAGCGGGAGAATGGGGCGGGGTGATGGAAGGAGGGAGAATGGGGCGGGGTGATAGAAAGCGGGAGAATGGGGCGGCGTGATGGAAAGCGGGAGAATGGGGCGGGGTGATGGAAAGGGAGAGAATGGGGTAGGGTGATGGAAGGAGGAAGAATGGGGAGCGGTGATGGAAAGCGGGGGAATGGGGCGGGATGATGGGAAGCGGAAGAATGGGGCGGGGTGATGGAAAGCGGGAGAATGGGGCGGGGTGATGGAAAGCGGGAGAATGGGGCGGGGAGATGGAAAGCGGGAGAAAGGGGAGGGGTGATGGAAAGCGGGAGAATGGGGCGGGCTGATGGAAAGCGGGAGAATGGGGCGGGGTGATGGAAGGAGGGAGAATGGGGCGGGGTGATGGAAGGAGAGAGAAGGGGGCGGGGTGATGGAATGTGGGAGAATGTGGCGGGGTGATGGAAAGCGGGAAAATGGGGTGGGGTTATGGGAAGCAGAAGATTGGGGCGGGGTGATGGAAAGCGGGAGAATGGGGCGGGGTGATGGAAGGAGGGAGAATGGGGCGGAGTGATGGAAGGAGGGAGAATGGGGCGGAGTGATGGAAAGCGGGAGAATGGGGCGGGGTGATGGAAGGAGGGAGAATGGGGCGGGATGATGGAAAGCGGAAGAATGGGGCGGGGTGATGGAAATCGGGAGAATGGGGCGAGGTGGTGGAAAGCGGGAGAATGGGGCGGGGTGATAGAAGGAGGGAGAATGGGGCGGGGTGATAGAAAGCGGGAGAATGTGGCGGGGTGATGGAAAGCGGGAGAATGGGGCGGGGTGATGGAAGGAGGGAGAATGGGGCGGGGTGATGGAAGGAGGGAGAATGGGGCGGGGTGATGGAAAGCGGGAGAATGGGGCGGGGTGATGGAAAGCATAAGAATGGGGCGGGGTGATGGAAAGCGGGAGAATGGGGCGAGGTGATGGAAAGCGGGAGAATGGGGCGGGTGATGGAAAGCGGAAGAATGGGGCGGGGTGATGGAAGGAGGGAGAATGGGGAGGGGTGATGGAAAGCGGTGGAATGGGGCGGGATGATGGGAAGCGGAAGAATGGGGCGGGGTGATGGAAAGCGGGAGAATGGGGCGGGGTGATGGAAAGCAGGAGAACGGGGCGGGGAGATGGAAAGCGGAAGAAAGGGGCGGGATGATGGAAAGCGGGAGAATGGGGCGGGCTGATGGAAAGCGGGAGAATGGGGCGGGGTGATGGAAGGAGGGAGAATGGGGCGGGGTGATGGAAGGAGGGAGAAGGGGGCGGGGTGATGGAAAGTGGGAAAATGTGGCGGGGTGATGGAAAGCGGGAGAATGGGGTGGGATTATGGGAAGCGGGAGAATGGGGCGGGGTGATGGAAAGCGGGAGAATGGGGCGGGGTGATGGAATGAGGGAGAATGGGGCGGGGTGATGGAAAGCGGGAGAATGGGGCGGGGTGATGGAAAGCGGGAGAATGGGGCGGGGAGATGGAAAGCGGGAGAAAGGGGAGGGGTGATGGAAAGCGGGAGAATGGGGCGGGCTGATGGAAAGCGGGAGAATGGGTCGGGGTGATGGAAGGAGGGAGAATGGGGCGGGGTGATGGAAGGAGGGAGAAGGGGGCGGGGTGATGGAAAGCGGGAGAATGGGGCGGGGTGATGGAAAGCGGGAGAATGGGGCGGAGTGATGGAAAGCGGGAGAATGGGGCGGGGTGATGGAAAGTGGGAGAATGGGGCGGGCTGATGGAAAGCGGGAGAATGGGGCGGGGTGATGGAAGGAGGGAGAATGGGGCGGGGTGATGGAAGGAAGGAGAATGGGACGGGGTGATGGAAAGCCGGAGAATGTGGCGGGGTGATGGAAAGTGGGAGAATGGGGTGGGGTTATGGGAAGCGGGAGAATGGGGCGGGGTGATGGAAAGCGGGAGAATGGGGCGGGGTGATGGAAAGCGGGAGAATGGGGCGGGGTGATGGAAAGCGGGAGAATGGGGCGGGGTGATGGAAAGCGGGAGAATGGGGCGGGGTGATGGATAGCGGGAGAATGGGGCGGGGTGATGGAAAAAGGGAGAATGGGGCGGGGTGATGGAAAGCGGAAGATTGGGGCAGGGTGATGGAAAGCGGGAGATTGGGGCGGGGTGATGGAAAGCGGGAAAATGGGGCGGGGTGATGGAAAGCGGAAGAATGGGGCGGGTTGATGGAAAGCGGGAGAATGGGGCGGGGTGATGGAAGGAGGGAGAATGGGGCGGGGTGATGAAAAGCGGGGGATTGGGGAAGGGTGATGGAAAGCGGGAGAACGGGGCGGAGTGATGGAAAGCGGGAAAATGGGGCGGGGTGATGGAAAGCGGGAAAATGGGGCTGGGTGATGGAAAGCGGGAGAATGGGGCAGGGTGATGGAAAGCAGGAGCATTGGGCGGGGTGATGGAAGGAGGGAGAATGAGGCAGGGTGATGGAAGGAGGGAGAATGGGCCGGGGTGATGGAAAGCGGGAGAATGGGGCGGGGTGATGGAAAGTGGGAGAATGGGGCGGAGTGATGGAAAGCGGGACAATGGGGCGGGGTGATGGAAAGCGGGAGAATGGGGCGGGATGATGGAAAGCGGGAGAATGGGGAGGGGTGTTGGAAAGCGGGAGAATGGGGCGGGGTGATGAAAAGCGGGAGAATGGGGCGGGTTGATGGAGAGCGGGAGAATGGGGCGGGGTGATGGAAAGCGGGAGATGGGGCGGGGTGATGGAAAGCGGGTGAATGGTGTGGGGTGATGGAAAGCGGGAGAATGGGGCGGGGTGATGGAGAGGAGAAGAATGGGGCGGGGTGATGGAAAGCGGGGGAATGGGGCGGGATGATGGGAAGCGGAAGAATGGGGTGGGGTGATGGAAAGCGGGAGAATGGGGCAGGGTTATGGAAAGTGGGAGAATGGGGCGGGGAGATGGAAAGCGGGAGAATGGGGCGGGGTGATGGAAGGAGGGAGAATGGGGCGGGGTGATGGAAGGAGGGAGAATGGGGCGGGGTGATGGAAAGTGGGAGAATGTGGCGGGGTGATGGAAAGCGGGAGATTGGGCTGGGGTTATGGGAAGCGGAGAATTGGGCGGGGTGATGGAAGGAGGGAGAATGGGGCGGGGTGATGGAAAGAGGGAGAATGGGGCGGGGTGATGGAAAGCAGGAGAATGGGGCGGGGTGATGGAAAGCGGGAGAATTGGGCGGGGTGATGGAAAGCGTGAGAACGGGGCGGGGTGATGGAAAGCGGGAGAATGGGGCGGGGTGATGGAAAGCAGGGGAATGGGGCGGGGTGATGGAAAGCGGGAGAATTGGGCGGGGTGATGGAAAGCGGGAGAATGGGGCGGGGTGATGGAAAGCGGTAGAATTGGGCGGGGTGATGGAAAGCGGGAGAACGGGGCGGGGTGATGGAAAGCGGGAGAATGGGGCAAGGTGATGGAAAGCGGGAGAATGGGGCGGGGTGATGGAAGGAGGAAGAATGGGGCGGGGTGATAGAAGGTGGGAGGATGGGGTGGGGTGATGGAAAGCGGGAGAATGGGGCGGGGTGATGGAAAGCAGGAGAATGGGGCGGGGTGGTGGAAAGCGGGAGAATGGGGCAGGGTGATGGAAGGAGAGAGAAGCGGGCGGAGTGATGGAAAGTGGGAGAATGTGGCGGGGTGATGGAAAGCGGGAGAATGGGGTGGGGTTATGGGAAGCGGGAGAATGGGGCAGGGTGATGGGAGGAGGGAGAATTGGGCGGGGTGATGGAAGGAGGGAGAATGGAGCGGGGTGATGGAAAGCGGGAGAATGGGGTGGGGTGATGGAAGGAGGGAGAATGGGGCGGGGTGATGGAAAGCGGGAGAATGGGGCGGGGTGATGGAAAGCGGGAGAATGGGGCGGGGTGATGGATAGCGGGAGAATGGGGCGGGGTGATGGAAAAAGGGAGAATGGGGCGGGGTGATGGAAAGCGGAAGATTGGGGCAGGGTGATGGAAAGCGGGAGATTGGGGCGGGGTGATGGAAAGCGGGAAAATGGGGCGGGGTGATGGAAAGCGGAAGAATGGGGCGGGGTGATGGAAAGCGGGAGAATGGGGCGGGGTGATTGAAGGAGGGAGAATGGGGCGGGGTGATGAAAAGCGGGGGATTGGGGAAGGGTGATGGAAAGCGGGAGAACGGGGCGGGGTGATGGAAAGCGGGAAAATGGGGCGGGGTGATGGAAAGCGGGAAAATGGGGCTGGGTGATGGAAAGCGGGAGAATGGGGCAGGGTGATGGAAAGCAGGAGCATTGGGCGGGGTGATGGAAGGAGGGAGAATGAGGCAGGGTGATGGAAGGAGGGAGAATGGGCCGGGGTGATGGAAAGCGGGAGAATGGGGCGGGGTGATGGAAAGTGGGAGAATGGGGCGGAGTGATGGAAAGCGGGACAATGGGGCGGGGTGATGGAAAGCGGGAGAATGGGGCGGGATGATGGAAAGCGGGAGAATGGGGAGGGGTGTTGGAAAGCGGGAGAATGGGGCGGGGTGATGAAAAGCGGGAGAATGGGGCGGGTTGATGGAGAGCGGGAGAATGGGGCGGGGTGATGGAAAGCGGGAGATGGGGCGGGTGATGGAAAGCGGGTGAATGGTGTGGGGTGATGGAAAGCGGGAGAATGGGGCGGGGTGATGGAGAGGAGAAGAATGGGGCGGGGTGATGGAAAGCGGGGGAATGGGGCGGGATGATGGGAAGCGGAAGAATGGGGTGGGGTGATGGAAAGCGGGAGAATGGGGCAGGGTTATGGAAAGTGGGAGAATGGGGCGGGGAGATGGAAAGCGGGAGAATGGGGCGGGGTGATGGAAGGAGGGAGAATGGGGCGGGGTGATGGAAGGAGGGAGAATGGGGCGGGGTGATGGAAAGTGGGAGAATGTGGCGGGGTGATGGAAAGCGGGAGATTGGGCTGGGGTTATGGGAAGCGGAGAATTGGGCGGGGTGATGGAAGGAGGGAGAATGGGGCGGGGTGATGGAAAGAGGGAGAATGGGGCGGGGTGATGGAAAGCAGGAGAATGGGGCGGGGTGATGGAAAGCGGGAGAATTGGGCGGGGTGATGGAAAGCGTGAGAACGGGGCGGGGTGATGGAAGGAGGGAGAATGGGGCGGGGTGATAGAAAGCAGGGGAATGGGGCAAGGTGATGGAAAGCGGGAGAATGGGGCGGGGTGATGGAAGGAGGAAGAATGGGGCGGGGTGATAGAAGGTGGGAGGATGGGGTGGGGTGATGGAAAGCGGGAGAATGGGGCGGGGTGATGGAAAGCAGGGGAATGGGGCGGGGTGATGGAAAGCGGGAGAATTGGGCGGGGTGATGGAAAGCGGGAGAATGGGGCGGGGTGATGGAAAGCGGTAGAATTGGGCGGGGTGATGGAAAGCGGGAGAACGGGGCGGGGTGATGGAAAGCGGGAGAATGGGGCAAGGTGATGGAAAGCGGGAGAATGGGGCGGGGTGATGGAAGGAGGGAGAATGGGGCGGGGTGATAGAAGGTGGGAGGATGGGGTGGGGTGATGGAAAGCGGGAGAATGGGGCGGGGTGATGGAAAGCAGGAGAATGGGGCGGGGTGGTGGAAAGCGGGAGAATGGGGCAGGGTGATGGAAGGAGAGAGAAGCGGGCGGAGTGATGGAAAGTGGGAGAATGTGGCGGGGTGATGGAAAGCGGGAGAATGGGGTGGGGTTATGGGAAGTGGGAGAATGGGGCAGGGTGATGGGAGGAGGGAGAATTGGGCGGGGTGATGGAAGGAGGGAGAATGGAGCGGGGTGATGGAAAGCGGGAGAATGGGGCGGGGTGATGGAAGGAGGGAGAATGGGGCGGGGTGATGGAAAGCGGGAGAATGGGGCGGGGTGATGGAAAGCGGGAGAATGGGGCGGGGTGATGGAAAGCGGGAGAATCGGGCGGGGTGATGGAAAGCGGGAAAATGGGGCGGGGTGATGGAAAGCGGGAGAATGGGGCTGGGTGATGGAAAGCGGGAGAATGGGGCGGGGTGATGGAAAGCGGGAGAATGGGGCAGAGTGATGGAAGGAGGGAGAATGAGCCAGGGTGATGGAAGGAGGGAGAATGGGGCGGGGTGATGGAAAGCGGGAGAAAGGGGCGGGGTGATGGAAAGCGGGAGAATGGGGCAGAGTGATGGAAAGCGGGACAATGGGGCGGGGTGATGGAAAGCGGGAGAATGGGGCGGGGTGATGGAAAGCGGGAGAATGGGGAGGGGTGTTGGAAAGCGGGAGAATGGGGCGGGGTGATGAAAAGCGGGAGAATGGGGCAGGGTGATGGAGAGCGGGAGAATGGGGCGGGGTGATGGAAAGCGGGAGATGGGGCGGGTGATGGAAAGCGGGTGAATGGTGCGGGGTGATGGAAAGCGGGAGAATGGGGCGGGGTGATGGAAAGCAGAAGAATGGGGCGGGGTGATGGAAAGCGGGAGAATGGGGCGAGGTGATGGAAAGCAAGAGAATGGGGCGGGTGATGGAAAGCGGGAGAATGGGGCGGGGTGATGGAAGGAGGGAGAATGGGGAGGGGTGATGGAAAGCTGGGGAATGGGACGGGATGATGGGAAGCGGAAGAATGGGGCGGGGAGATGGAAAGCGGGAGAATGGGACGGGGTGATGGAAGGAGGGAGATTGGGGCGGGGTGATGGAAGCAAGGAGAATGGGGCGAGGTGATGGAAAATGGGAAAATGGGGTGGGGTGATGGAAAGCGGGAGAATGGGGCGGGGTGATGGAAAGCGGGAGAAGGGGGCAGGTTGATGGAAAGCGGGAGAATGGGGCGGGGTGAAGGAAAGCGGGAGAATGGGGCTGGCTGATGGAAAGCGGGAGAATGGGGCGGGCTGATGGAAAGCGGGAGAATATGGCGGGGTTATGGAAGGAGGGAGAATGGGGCGGGGTGATGGAAGGAGGGAGAATGGGGCGGGATGAAGTGGGAGAAAGTGGACCGCCGCATGAAGAACCGTCCCCGGATAAGGGCGTTTGTGAGCCCGGGAAGCTGCGAAATCCGTACCGGTATAAAATGTGAAGCAATGTTACTCGGATCATGGACCGCCCAGCACGATCGTGTTTGCCACAATCCTAGATACCTTGGGACGAGATTCCAGCTCTTTTTTCCTTCAAAAGGGGCCCGCCGGATGAAGAACCGTCCCCATATAAGGGCGTTTGTGAGCCCGGGAAGCTGCGAAATCCGTACCGGTATAAAATGTGAAGCAATGTTACTCGGATCATGGACCGCCCAGCACGATCGTGTTTGCCACAATCCTAGATACCTTGGGACGAGATTCCAGCTCTTTTTTCCTTCAAACGGGCCCGGCGCATAAAGAACCGTCCCCATATAAGGGCGTTTGTGAGCCCGGGAAGCTGCGAAATCCGTACCGGTATAAAATGTGAAGCAATGTTACTCGGATCATGGACCGCCCAGCACGATCGTGTTTGCCACAATCCTAGATACCTTGGGACGAGATTCCAGCTCTTTTTTCCTTCAAGCGGGCCCGCCGGATGAAGAACCGTCCCCATATAAGGGCGTTTGTGAGCCCGGGAAGCTGCCAAATCCGTACCGGTATAAAATGTGAAGCAATGTTACTCGGATCATGGACCGCCCAGCACGATCGTGTTTGCCACAATCCTAGATACCTTGGGACGAGATTCCAGCTCTTTTTTCCTTCAAGCGGGCCCGCCGGATGAAGAACCGTCCCCATATAAGGGCGTTTGTGAGCCCGGGAAGCTGCGAAATCCGTACCGGTATAAAATGTGAAGCAATGTTACTCGGATCATGGACCGCCCAGCACGATCGTGTTTGCCACAATCCTAGATACCTTGGGACGAGATTCCAGCTCTTTTTTCCTTCAAGCGGGCCCGCCGGATGAAGAACCGTCCCCATATAAGGGCGTTTGTGAGCCCGGGAAGCTGCGAAATCCGTACCGGTATAAAATGTGAAGCAATGTTACTCGGATCATGGACCGCCCAGCACGATCGTGTTTGCCACAATCCTAGATACCTTGGGACGAGATTCCAGCTCTTTTTTCCTTCAAGCGGGCCCGCCGGATGAAGAACCGTCCCCATATAAGGGCGTTTGTGAGCCCGGGAAGCTGCGAAATCCGTACCTGGTATAAAATGTGAAGCAATGTTACTCGGATCATGGACCGCCCAGCACGATCGTGTTTGCCACAATCCTAGATACCTTGGGACGAGATTCCAGCTCTTTTTGCCTTCAAACGGGCCCGCCGCATGAAGAACCGTCCCCATATAAGGGCGTTTGTGAGCCCGGGAAGCTGCGAAATCCGTACCGGTATAAAATGTGAAGCAATGTTACTCGGATCATGGACCGCCCAGCACGATCGTGTTTGCCACAATCCTAGATACCTTGGGACGAGATTCCAGCTCTTTTTTCCTTCAAGCGGGCCCGCCGGATGAAGAACCGTCCCCATATAAGGGCGTTTGTGAGCCCGGGAAGCTGCGAAATCCGTACCGGTATAAAATGTGAAGCAATGTTACTCGGATCATGGACCACCCAGCACGATCGTGTTTGCCACAATCCTAGATACCTTGGGACGAGATTCCAGCTCTTTTTTCCTTCAAGCGGGCCCGCCGGATGAAGAACCGTCCCCATATAAGGGCGTTTGTGAGCCCTGGGAAGCTGCCGAAATCCGTACCGGTATAAAATGTGAAGCAATGTTACTCGGATCATGGACCGCCCAGCACGATCGTGTTTGCCACAATCCTAGATACCTTGGGACGAGATTCCAGCTCTTTTTGCCTTCAAACGGGCCCGCCGCATGAAGAACCGTCCCCATATAAGGGCGTTTGTGAGCCCGGGAAGCTGCCAAATCCGTACCGGTATAAAATGTGAAGCAATGTTACTCGGATCATGGACCGCCCAGCACGATCGTGTTTGCCACAATCCTAGATACCTTGGGACGAGATTCCAGCTCTTTTTTCCTTCAAGCGGGCCCGCCGAATGAAGAACCGTCCCCATATAAGGGCGTTTGTGAGCCCGGGAAGCTGCGAAATCCGTACCGGTATAAAATGTGAAGCAATGTTACTCGGATCATGGACCGCCCAGCACGATCGTGTTTGCCACAATCCTAGATACCTTGGGACGAGATTCCAGCTCTTTTTGCCTTCAAACGGGCCCGCCGCATGAAGAACCGTCCCCGGATAAGGGCGTTTGTGAGCCCGGGAAGCTGCGAAATCCGTACCGGTATAAAATGTGAAGCAATGTTACTCGGATCATGGACCGCCCAGCACGATCGTGTTTGCCACAATCCTAGATACCTTGGGACGAGATTCCAGCTCTTTTTTCCTTCAAGCGGGCCCGCCGGATGAAGAACCGTCCCCATATAAGGGCGTTTGTGAGCCCGGGAAGCTGCGAAATCCGTACCGGTATAAAATGTGAAGCAATGTTACTCGGATCATGGACCGCCCAGCACGATCGTGTTTGCCACAATCCTAGATACCTTGGGACGAGATTCCAGCTCTTTTTTCCTTCAAACGGGCCCGGCGCATAAAGAACCGTCCCCATATAAGGGCGTTTGTGAGCCCGGGAAGCTGCGAAATCCGTACCGGTATAAAATGTGAAGCAATGTTACTCGGATCATGGACCGCCCAGCACGATCGTGTTTGCCACAATCCTAGATACCTTGGGACGAGATTCCAGCTCTTTTTTCCTTCAAGCGGGCCCGCCGGATGAAGAACCGTCCCCATATAAGGGCGTTTGTGAGCCCGGGAAGCTGCGAAATCCGTACCGGTATAAAATGTGAAGCAATGTTACTCGGATCATGGACCGCCCAGCACGATCGTGTTTGCCACAATCCTAGATACCTTGGGACGAGATTCCAGCTCTTTTTTCCTTCAAGCGGGCCCGCCGGATGAAGAACCGTCCCCATATAAGGGCGTTTGTGAGCCCGGGAAGCTGCGAAATCCGTACCGGTATAAAATGTGAAGCAATGTTACTCGGATCATGGACCGCCCAGCACGATCGTGTTTGCCACAATCCTAGATACCTTGGGACGAGATTCCAGCTCTTTTTTCCTTCAAGCGGGCCCGTCGGATGAAGAACCGTCCCCATATAAGGGCGTTTGTGAGCCCGGGAAGCTGCGAAATCCGTACCGGTATAAAATGTGAAGCAATGTTACTCGGATCATGGACCGCCCAGCACGATCGTGTTTGCCACAATCCTAGATACCTTGGGACGAGATTCCAGCTCTTTTTTCCTTCAAGCGGGCCCGCCGGATGAAGAACCGTCCCCATATAAGGGCGTTTGTGAGCCCGGGAAGCTGCGAAATCCGTACCGGTATAAAATGTGAAGCAATGTTACTCGGATCATGGACCGCCCAGCACGATCGTGTTTGCCACAATCCTAGATACCTTAGGACGAGATTCCAGCTCTTTTTGCCTTCAAACGGGCCCGCCGCATGAAGAACCGTCCCCATATAAGGGCGTTTGTGAGCCCGGGAAGCTGCGAAATCCGTACCGGTATAAAATGTGAAGCAATGTTACTCGGATCATGGACCGCCCAGCACGATCGTGTTTGCCACAATCCTAGATACCTTGGGACGAGATTCCAGCTCTTTTTTCCTTCAAGCGGGCCCGCCGGATGAAGAACCGTCCCCATATAAGGGCGTTTGTGAGCCCGGGAAGCTGCGAAATCCGTACCGGTATAAAATGTGAAGCAATGTTACTCGGATCATGGACCACCCAGCACGATCGTGTTTGCCACAATCCTAGATACCTTGGGACGAGATTCCAGCTCTTTTTTCCCTTCAAGCGGGCCCGCCGGATGAAGAACCGTCCCCATATAAGGGCGTTTGTGAGCCCGGGAAGCTGCCAAATCCGTACCGGTATAAAATGTGAAGCAATGTTACTCGGATCATGGACCGCCCAGCACGATCGTGTTTGCCACAATCCTAGATACCTTGGGACGAGATTCCAGCTCTTTTTTCCTTCAAGCGGGCCCGCCGCATGAAGAACCGTCCCCATATAAGGGCGTTTGTGAGCCCGGGAAGCTGCGAAATCCGTACCGGTATAAAATGTGTAAGCAATGTTACTCGGATCATGGACCGCCCAGCACGATCGTGTTTGCCACAATCCTAGATACCTTGGGACGAGATTCCAGCTCTTTTTTCCTTCAAGCGGGCCCGCCGGATGAAGAACCGTCCCCATATAAGGGCGTTTGTGAGCCCGGGAAGCTGCGAAATCCGTACCGGTATAAAATGTGAAGCAATGTTACTCGGATCATGGACCGCCCAGCACGATCGTGTTTGCCACAATCCTAGATACCTTGGGACGAGATTCCAGCTCTTTTTGCCTTCAAACGGGCCCGCCGCATGAAGAACCGTCCCCATATAAGGGCGTTTGTGAGCCCGGGAAGCTGCGAAATCCGTACCGGTATAAAATGTGAAGCAATGTTACTCGGATCATGGACCGCCCAGCACGATCGTGTTTGCCACAATCCTAGATACCTTGGGACGAGATTCCAGCTCTTTTTTCCTTCAAGCGGGCCCGCCGGATGAAGAACCGTCCCCATATATGGGCGTTTGTGAGCCCGGGAAGCTGCGAAATCCGTACCGGTATAAAATGTGAAGCAATGTTACTCGGATCATGGACCGCCCAGCACGATCGTGTTTGCCACAATCCTAGATACCTTGGGACGAGATTCCAGCTCTTTTTTCCTTCAAACGGGCCCGGCGCATAAAGAACCGTCCCCATATAAGGGCGTTTGTGAGCCCGGGAAGATGCGAAATCCGTACCGGTATAAAATGTGAAGCAGTGTTACTCCGATCATGGACCACCCAGCACGATCGTGTTTGCCACCATCCTAGATACCTTGGGACGAGATTCCAGCTCTTTTTGCCTTCAAACGGGCCCGCCGCATGAAGAACCGTCCCCATATAAGGGCGTTTGTGAGCCCGGGAAGCTGCGAAATCCGTACCGGTATAAAATGTGAAGCAATGTTACTCGGATCATGGACCGCCCAGCACGATCGTGTTTGCCACAATCCTAGATACCTTGGGACGAGATTCCAGCTCTTTTTTCCTTCAAGCGGG